TTGTTATTATTAAGAGGAAAGGTCAAAGTATTTTGGGGTATTTTTTTTTCCATTTTTTTAATCGTTCCTAGCACGTCCGAAATTTTCGTTAAAAATCTAGTTTTTTGAGTCAGCAAATTGACCATTTTTTCCATTTTAAAAAAAACTGGAAATCTGACTTTGAAATTTTTTAAATATCAATTATCATTTTTTCAAAACTTATTTTAAGAAAATCAGAAATTATAATGTTTATTTAAAATATTTTGAACCAAACTTAACTTAGCTTTTGTGCCAAAAAGATGTAATTTGAAAATAAAACAAAGCAGGTCATAAACTTTCGCGTCTCTTGACATGTGATGAATGATATATTTACAATTCCATGAGGCTAATTTGTTCTATGGAAGGAGAAAAATGAAATAATTTACATTTACGTGAACAAATTATTTACCCGTTATTTTTAACGAAAACTTTCAGCGGTCTAATTTTTTTTTTTTTTTTGTACTTAGCTTTCACCTTTACGTTTATGATGCTTTATGGGAAATATATTGTAAAGAAATTAAAATAAAACTGTTAAGAGTGACATTAAATTTCATATTTCTTAAGAAAGGTATCTAATTAATTTATAGGTACCTTTCTTATGAAATTTTATCAGAATTGTACATAAAATACTATAATTTTATGTACATTTATTACATTCTACTGTTATTTGTATTTGCATTCATTTTATTATTAATTAAATGTCGTAACTGAGATTAATATAAAAATAAGATCATATAAATTTCATAAGATGATACTGATACTTGTAGGTACCCTTCTCAGTTGAAATTGAAAAATCAAATTAACTTCTCCACACGTGTTTCGCAAAAGTAAAGGCCTTAACAGCGGAGAACAATGCTTAACTCAAATAACGCAACGTAATTATATTCTGGTTGGTCTTCCGTATTTTATAATTACAGCTCGATTATAAGCACAAAATTACATTTCTTAATTACTGGGGATCTTCTGATTAGTCAAAATGATACAATTTACAACGCGCTAAAAAAAAAGATCTATCTCATAAGGACACTTATGAAAGCCGATGTGGCTTTTAACTAATTTTATAATATTTTAACAACTTAAATGTAAAATCTAATATAATTAATGAAATAACAAATAATTGTATTAAAAATTCATTTTTCATCGAAAAAATTTTTTTGCTTTCAGAAAATATTGTCCATATTCATAAAAACAACTAAAAGCAAATAAAAGCATTTGAAATTAAATAATATCTTTGTTTTATTGAGTTTTGTATGTTACAATTCAGAGCTGATTTTCAGGTATTGCGTATCCAATTAAAAACAAAAAAAAACATGATTTGCATTCCTCAAAGCCCTGTGCTTTTAATTATTGTAATCACTAAAACCGATGTGATCGAATTTCTAGCGTTTTCATAAAATTAGTTATGGGGGGGTAATAAATATTTTAAAAAAAATATTTCTACCATGACTTTCATAAAAAAAACATATTTATAATAATTTCGATCATCTGTAAATAGTTCCTGAAAGTTTCATTAACATCCGATAATTATTTCTATTTTTGCACGATTTTTCAAATTAATGTGTGTCATACCAAAAAACGTGCTAAAAATTGTCTGTTATTTACTAGTTCTTTGATACAAATAGAAAGGTTTTTTAATCAAAATTTAGAATGTTCTAAAAGAAGGAAAATTTTTAAAATAATTAAAAAATAACTTTGGTCTTTCCTCTTAATAATAACATAAGCATTTAGACAATAAAATTTTGTTTTCGGCAAGGTTGGCGTCTTTTTCATCAAGCTATGCTCTTTTTTTTAGCGATTTCGTGGAGGTACCTAAGCTAAGACCTTGTTTGCCGAGAGGATGTGGCACTGCATAGCCTCTAACAACTTCAGCTCTCATGAATACTTGTAACAATTTGAGGTGTTTTCATCCTCTGCTGTTAAAGCTGAATGTTTTGCCTGTAAATTCTCCGACTCTACTCTTGACTAATCTGGAGTATCCCTTCTTCCCACTTAAAACTGAGTCTCTGAGTGATATTGCATATAACTCCTTCCATAGTTTCTGCTAGATCCCCACAAAGCATGTGGACCAAAAGGTATCCCTGTAATAATCATTAAGTGTGCTTCCGAACTGGCTCCTGTTCTCTCTAAACTGTATAATAAATGCCTTGCTGCCTCCTGCATTCCTGCCTGCTGGAAGTTTTCATCTAATCCAGTTTTTAAGAATTCTGGTGAACCATCTGACCCTTTCAATTATTGGCCTGTTAGCCTTCTATCTCTTTGGGAAACTTTTACAGGCCCTAATCAATGCTGAATTGGTTCATCATCTCTCGTTACATAGCCTTTTCTCAGGCAAGCAATATAGCTTTCATTTCTCCAGGTGAACTACTGATATAGTGAAGATAATTGAAGAAAGAGTCCATCATGCTCAAGATAAAAACGGTGAAGCCTGGGCTGTAGCGTGGGACATTTCGAAAGCCTTTGACAGGGTCTGGCATTCAGAGCATCTCCACAAGTTGAAAAGTTACAGTGTCTCTGAACAAATTTTTGAACTAATCCAGTCTTTCCTATCAAATTATGAAATGAAAGTTATCTTAAATGGTCACTCATCTAGATCCTTTCATACTAATGCAGATGTCCCCCAGGGCTCCATCCTTGGTCCTACTTTGCTTTTAATTTTCATTAATGACCTTCTTAATGACATCAGCTCTCAACTCGGCATCTATACTGATGATACAACCATTTACTCCTGCTTTGATAGTAAGGTTGATCCATCCAACAAGGTCAAAATGGCAGCCAATGTCCAAAATGACCTCAAGTCTATTGTTAACTGAGGCAAAAGATGGCTTGTGAAGTTTGATGCTTCCAAAATTAAACTTCTCTCCATGAATCATCTGAGAGACCCCTCTCTGCCTTCCATCAGAATGGCTGATGCTAACCTCCAGGAAAGTAATTCATTGCATCTTCGAGCGAGACAATTTTTTCCCTCTAGAATCAATCTTGCATATCTATAAGTCTACCATTTACTCACGCTTAGAATGCTATTTACCTTGAGCTCCTTGATAAGATCCAAAGAATAAGCAGTATTTTAAGTCCTGATCTGGCAGCTCAGCATCAGTCACTTTCTTGCTACCGTAAGGTTGCCTCATTGAGCTATTTATTTTGAACAGTCTACCCTTGGAGATTTTATTATTTAAAGGGTTCATTTTGAAATTCCATAAAGATTACCTGGATAGATAGATACCTTAAAGCTGGAGGGTATGACAGCTAAAACGTTATGATAACAGCAAAAAATAGGATGTTAGTCTGAATGTAACTAATAACACTGTATCCCAGAAATTCAGTTTGAAATTCTATTTCATTTAGTATAGAACCTTTTCTAGATAAATATGTTGGTGTGTGGGGGGACATCTTATAAGAGGTTATGGCAGGATGTGGTTGTTTTATATTTTTATTTACAAATATTTTGTTTCATTCAAAATCTAGTTTTGTTTTTACATATATTTCATTTATAACTGGTAGTTTAAATTTTACCATATAGACTGTTTCTGATATGATCCATAAATTAGTAGTTGAATTTTACCTTACTGAAATTCTCTTTGATGTTTTTACTTAAAAGTAGCAATTTTGACTTGTTATTTGGTTCCAAATTAGGAAGTTAAGTGTGCTTAACCTTGACCAATATGGAGATAAATCCGTGTCAATAGCCATTCTTTTCTTTTCTCTTTGTATCACTTTATCATTTGGTGAATTAGTCAAATTAATTTTAGTTGTACAATTTAAAGTATATTTAAGAAATACTATGATAAACTGACAGATTTAGATAAAATAATTTTTGTTTCCCTTTTTTTTCCAGTAAATTTAAAATAATAAAGAGTTTAATGTTCATTGTAACGCCTTTCCATTTTGCTTGAATGTAGTTCCTTGCAATCGTTCATGTTTTATTCATTGCAATGGTTCACTTTTCAACTGCTTTATTAACTTTCACTTTTACTTGAAAGTTATTTTGTGAACATCAGTTAAAAGTTGAAGTGTTAGGAAAAAATAAATACAGTTAGCTTTCTTAGGAATATTTTAGGATGGAATCTTTAAAAATTCTGAAAATGTTAGAAATTAAATGTTTATTTTTGCTTTTATATTAAATTTAAAATGTATTTTTTTGTTATTCTGTTTAACATATATATCAATTTTGAATTATTATTCTATTATTACTGTTTTTCTTGGTTTACGATCACAAAACCTGAAATTGGGTGATATCAATTTTTGAAGTGAAACAGACATGCTTGCTTACAAAATCAGTATTTGAAATATTGGCTTTCATTTGGGTTTGTGTATTGACCTCTTGTACTAGTTGATCTTGGTCTGTTATTCGTTCATCATTAACAACAATTAAATGAACTTATTTTGAAAAAGAAAATGTTGAAATGTTGCTTTCTGTTTTTGTTACAATTGTTATAGAAAGAATTTAAAACCATTTTCTTAAGTTAAAACTGTTAGAGATTGAAGCTTCCTTGATAGAGGAAACAAAACAATGGGAGAGTGAAAAAAAATTCCTGCAGATATTAAAAAAATAAAAATAAAACCTTAAAATTTTCTAATGGATCAAATTAGAATAACTACATTTTCTTTTTTTTGGCCCTTTTAATAATTTTATGTAATTTTTAACAAAGATTTTTATTTAATTTTTTTTTTTTTTTTTTTTTTTAGCTGGTGTAGTTTATATTTTATTTATTTCTATATTCTCAATAACTTATACATTTTTTTTTCTTTTATTTATTTATATATATATATATATATATATATATATATATATGAAGTTGATTCTTAAAAGATTGGGAGCTCCCTGTTTTTTTCCTCCCGAAAAGCCACATTAATGTGCATCTATAGTCTTTGAATAAAATCTGCATAATGATTTTTTTTTTGAACATTTAATCTTTTGTGCTTTGGTTAAATTGCCATTTACATGTTAGAATGTTTCTTATTTTTTTTTTTTTTTTTTATTTCAGATTCTTTTGTGAATAGTCAGGAATGGACTTTAAGTAGAGCCGTTCCAGATTTAAAATTGGTATGTTTCTTTTCTCTTGCTTCATTTCTTTTTATTGAATTTGATTTTTATTTTACTTTGATATTAAGTTATTTATTCTCTGAAAGGTTTTCTTGATCTGATAGAATTTCTACTTAAAAAGTTATATATACACACACACACACACACATCTAAAGGATCTAAATGAAATTGGCTAGATAAAAAAAATATTAAAATTTAAAATTCCACCATCCGTTGTTTGTGCTCATGTGTAGTCACACCAACATAACAAATTTAGTCCAGTGAAGTCCTAAAGGACAAAACTTGTTACACGAGAACTTTCCCAGTTTGTCATAGATTTTTTCCCTAATATTGTTCCTGATATATAAACAATATATATATATATATATATATATATATATATATATATATATATATATATATATAAAAGCAAATATATGGATATAGATCCGACAGTATGAAGAAGAAAAATATAAAGGAAAAAAACAAACAAAAATCTTATATGCAATTATCCTGTTTTAATGTTAATATAATGTCAACATCGGACGTTTTGGTCTAATAAACCATCTTCAGGACATATTCATAAAATATAATTAACATTGTCATGTTGAATTGAAAATGTTAATTATATTTTATGAATATGTCCTGAAGATGGTTTGTTAGACGGAAACGTCCGACATTGACATTATATTAACATTAAAACAGGATGATTGCATATAAGGATTTTTGTTTGTTTTTCCGTATATTTTTCTTTGTATATATATATATGTTTTCTTTCTGAAATTATTACTGAAATTTAACTATTTTCAGTTGCTGAAAATATTAAAATTATTACTTATAAAAACTAGAATAATTGTAATAAGTGATTTTATTTATTTTTTAAATAATTCTTATGGCAATTCAGAAATGAACTTGTTTAAGAATATTATTTCCATTTGCTGACTTAAAGTTTAATTCCACTTTGGTTGATGTATTTACTCAGTCTTGCTCAAGATCCGTAATATAGGTTGGAGTGGGTGATCCCTTTCCAGTTGGGATATGATATGCACTTATCTGAATTATTTACACTATTTACATTCAGACTATTGTCCTCATCTTTGTTGTTATCACAATAATCCAGCCTTCATCAGGTGTATATCTATCTGGATGAGCTACAGGGAATTCCGAACCCTTTATTCAATCTATGGGGGGAAACTGTTGTTGTTTCACTGCCTGTGTCGAGGGATATTTCGTCCAATTCTTAATTTTAGTACTGCTCAATTATTGCTCACTCTGTTTCCACTGAGTTCATTAACACACTGCCCAGGCCAGGAATTGAACTCACAATTACTAAATGTCATCTGAATGTCACTCATCATTATATTTATCAGTCTTGTTAACCTGTTAATTCTTTTTGTCTAAATTTGATTGAATTTTCATTTTTTTTTTTTTTTTTTTTAAAAAATTAATGGGTGTTTATCCATAAAGGAAACAATCAAAATACTTTTTGTTGAAATGTTTTTCTTTTTAAATAAAGAATATTTCTTGTCATGAACTTGAAAAAAATGTCTTTTGTTATTAGTACTGCTAATCATGGTCAGAACTGGTGACAATTCTGATAGTAAACTCTAAAAGTTTTTATTCTTTTTTATTATTTTTTTTCTTCTTGTATGTCAAACAGAATGCAATGACACTATCAAGTGACCATGGATGGCAAAACATCTTTACTCTTCTGATTAGAATGTAGCAATCAGTAGATGACAGCGATAGTTGTGCTGAGAAAGACTTTTTTTTCCTGAATAGATAAGCACCAGATGGTGATCATTTTAGGTGCCTGCAGATAAGCACTTTCACAGATCATAAGAAACTGATGGCAAATCTAGAAGTGGGTTGGCTTGACTATTTTTTTTTTTTTTTTATCATCAAATTCTCTTTTCTTATATATATATATATATATATATATATATATATATATATATATATATTCTCTTATATAGAATTGTAACAGTGGCACTACATTGTATTCCTATAAAAGATAAAACGTATATACAGAAACTTACATGGTAAGTTTCCATGGACACAAAGTAATTTCTTTAATAAAACTTCAGCAAAATATGTATTGATGGTTCTTGGAGATGAAGTCATGTCTCGATCCATTTTTATTGCAAGGAATAACCAGAAAACTACTTTTTTTTTTTTTTTTTTTTTTTTTTTTTGGTCTCTTAAAGCTTATTCTTCTCTCTCACCCCCTTTTTTTTTAATAATAAAACTGGATTGGAATCAAATATGGATTAAGTCTAACAGAATGATACAATAAGGAACAAATAGGAAATGTTTACAAATTTAACGTTTTGTTTAACATTTAAGCTTCACCAGAAACTTTTTGAAATGAGATTGTCCCAGTACTTTGAGTTTTACGTTCTGTGTTGTTTGTTTTTCATTGGTCAGGTAAATCTCACATTTTTTGCCTTGTGTTGTGTGTTTTTAATTCCTGAAGATGGGGAAAAATGTGCGTGTAGTTGTGTGCATCAAATTTCTAATTGGTCTTGAGAGTTGGTAGTGTTGATGAGTGTGTTGACTGTTAGATGTATGTTATTAATGTTGGGGGTACTTGAGGAAAGAATGGTGAGAATTGGGTGTTTTGGCTTAATTCTATTATTATTATTATATAATGTTTGAGGAAAAATTGTGCATGTTGGAAAATTTGGGGGTGTGTTGGTTTAATTCTATTATTGAGGTTATTATTATTATATTTGATATTTGAGTATGTTGGAGTGAAAAACTTTACTTACAACATCTGCAAATATCAGGCTCTTATATTCTTTAAGTATGGGTTTTATGAATGTTGGCGAGATGAAAAGTGCATTGATGGAAAGATATTAATTAATATTCCCTCTAGATATTTTTTTTGTAATGAGATGATATGTTCTTTTTCTAATTAGTGTTTGTGATAGTTATATTTAGGGGTTTAACTGTATGGCTAGGTAAGAGACATGAGAACAATACATCTCAACATGGATTACTAGGGATTTCTAATGTATTTTCATGATATCTTCATAAACTGGTTAGCACCTCTTGAAACTGGATATACTGAAGTGAACCATTAGTGATGGTCATCTGTTTCTTCCAAAAACCCAGTAAATGGATGCTGTCTATTAAAGTTGCAATTTGCATTACCAATTTATCTTGTTTAGAAGTTTCAACGTTAGGTGTCCAATTACCAAAAGTTGAATACACTTCTAATGAAAGTTAATTATTAAGAAGTGGAATCTGTTATCGTTCAGAAACTGTAGACAGTTTCCATTACAAATTGCCTTCCTTTATTAATTATTATTCTGTTTATCATTGTCAGACAGAAAAGACATTAAGGAACAGATAAGATTGGACACACACAGAAAAGAGAGAGAGAGAGGTAGGGGAAGCAAAAAAGTACTTATCCCCCCCCCTCCGGTGCTTTGAAAAGATAGCAATCATTCTTTAATTAAACTTTGATAATTATACTTATACTTATTTATACCTTTTAAATACTTTGTAAAAAAAAAAAAATCCTGAGATTCAAACTCAGTTGGTTTTAATGATCACTGATAAGCAATTTGATATGAATTTGAGTTGTATAATTAAGGAACTTGAAACATTAAAAATGATACCAAGTTTATTGTATAGTCTTGCAGAATTTAAATGCCTGCTTTCAGATGAAAAGTTTCTGCTAGATTATTGAAACCCATGTTTAGATCTGATTTTAGCTTGATGCTTTCAAAACATTAAATAAAAACTCATGGAAAAATCCTTTCTTAATGTTTATTTGTGGGGTTTATTCTTTTTCAAATTTAGTTTGAATATTAACTAAGATGGCTTGAATGAGTTTAGTATTTTATTATGTTTTCTTTTAAGTAGATAACCCCCAAAGATTTGCTAAAAAAAATAAAAAAAAATGAGCATATATTATGAAAAGATGCCCCAAATTTAATGAAAACAAAATTTTATCATTTTAAAGGCCAAAGGATTTTTTATTTTATTTTATTTTATTTTTTTTTTTTTATTATTATATTACATTTTTAATCCTTTTTAGAACCTTTGAAATTTTGGTTAAAAGTTGTTTTCTTGCATAATGAGTGACCATTAATTAGTATGGCGGGGTGGAAATTTGAGCATTTTTTTTGCAAGAAAAACACATTGATTTGGAAATTCTTGCAAAAAATTGGATAATTGTCAGATTTTAATGAAACTTTCAGGACATATCCACAAATAGATTAAATTATTTAAGAAAAGTTTTGTTCTTTTTTTTTTGTTTTAAGTAAATCGTGTTAAATTTCTTTTTTTTTTTACATCTTTTAAACCACTTATTTAATTTTCTGACATTTTGAGAAGTTCATTTTTGCAGCACTTAATATTTCTATTAGTTATAAACACAAGAACTTGGAAAATTTAAATCAATTTTTTTTTTTTTTTTTGTTGAAAAGCAGAACTCCCATTTACTAAAAATCTGTTCTCTATTGTAAAATAAAAAAATGCAATAAAACTATTATTTAATTAAAAAAATTTTTTAATTGCTTTTATGAATAAGATATATTATGGACACTATTGTCTTAAAAAAATTTTGCAATGAATAATGAATTTTTATAAGAATTGTTTTAAATTTTTATTTTTTTTTTTTTTATTAGAATAATGTTCTAAATCTGTTAAAATTAATTTGTTAGGTGATATTCTTATTAAGTAAAATCTATATTTATTAATTATAATTGGAAAAGCTTACAACAATTCAGCACCCCCCCCCCATGCACACCAGTATTTTAAAAAGAATTTTGAATTTTATGTGTGTGTGTAAATGTGCAAATTTTTGTAAATATAGATATCCATAAATGATATTATCAAAAAATAAGAGCGGTAACTATAGTAAATTTAAAATTTATTGGTAATTTTCTAACATTTGCTCAACAACCTTAAGTAAAACTGTAAGCATATAAACTACAAGTGTAAGTAATGCTATAAAGCCAAAGTATCTAATATTCAATAAAATATTAGAATTTATAAAGATTTTAAGC